CAGTCTATCCGCTTCATGCTGTGTCTGCAGCATCAGCAGGCACTATCAAAGACATAGGAAATTAGAAGGGCTTTAGCTGAAAATATCAGCCATTAGAAAGTGCTAACCTTTGTTATGAGTATCTGACTTAATTTGCAGTTCTCTGCAAACCTTGCTACATCAAATCAGAATAATTCAGTGCCTCTTACAGGTGGCCCAACATTTACCATGCTTTAGATGGGATCTCAGGTTTTGCCTTCCCCATCTGTGAGAAGGTGGTTGAAGCACTGCAGCAGCAGTTCGCTGCCAGGTTGCTCAGAGGCCCAGGAGGAATTATCTCACCTGTCCTTCTCCCCAGGTAGTGACCAAACAGCTGCTTGGGCTGTTCACAAGCCCAGAGGGAAAAAAAAAAAAAAGAATCAGTTGTTTGGCAGTTGCATTTTGTCATGCTGCCATTCCCTCCATCATCCAAGGGATGAGAGATGGATGGAAGGTGTCCGAAGTCTGCTCTTTGAACTGTGCCTGTCTTTAGCTTGGTATCCTGCTCATAGTTGCCATATTTTGAGCTTCAGACAAATGTTTGGTAGGCAAGAATCAGCAAAATAAACACAAAAGGAAGCAATTATTTGCTTGTGATGAGACTCGTCGTTTTTCTTTGAGATAACTTTCTGTTGACTTTCTAAATGTGGTCTTCTAGAATTGCTAGGAGGTACGGATAAATTGGTGAGAGAGCAAAGCAGTTTCCTAAGGAGTTCTTCAGGAAACTTCTGGATGTTGCTGGTTTTCCCACTTCCTTGTTTTTAGTCTCTTCTCAACTTTTAAGTACTTCTCTCTTCTTGTCTCCCAATGTAATATTACACTCATTTAATGATTAATTGCAGCTTCATCCCTTTTCATACAGTGAGTTGTGTAACTATCCTAACTAAACATGCATGGTAACTAAACAACATGGTAAAATTGCAAGCTAGAAAGAGTTGTCTAGGCTTGGATGATAGTAATTACATTATTTATATTTACAGGCGTCAATATTTATCTTACGCCTACCCTCTGTCCTGCTTGTTGTCTACAGTTGAGTGTGCAGCTCATGGAATCGTTTGGGTTGGAAAAGACCTTTAAGATCATCAAGTCCAACTGTTAACCTAGCATTGCCAAGTCCGCCACTAACCCATGTCCCTAAGCACTTCGTCTACCCATCTTTTAAATACTTCCAGGGATGGGGACTTCAGCCACTTCCCTGAGCAGCCTGTTCCAATGTTTGACAACCCTTTCCATGAAGAAATTTTTCCTAATATCCAATTGAAACCTCCCCAGCGCAAATTGAGGCTGTTTCCCCTTGTCCTGTTACTTGGGAGAAGAGACCGCCCCTGCCCTCCCTCCCCCCTCCTGTCAGGCAGTTGTAGAAAAAAAAATTCGGGGAGGGAGGGGCCCAACCCTGACCCCAGCATTCGAGGGGCGGCCCCCCCAGTGCCCAGGACAGGGGGATGATCACTGGCCCACTCCTGCTGGCCACACCGCTCCTGATACAAGCCAGGATGCTGTTGGCCCTCTTGGCCACCTGGGCACCCTGCTGGCTCATATTCAGCTGGCCGTCAACCAACACCCCCAGGTCCTTTTCTGGCAGCTTTCCAGCTGCCTTCCCCAAGCCTGTAGCGTTGTGTGTGGTTGTTGTGACCCAAGTGCAGGACCTGGCCCTTGGCCGTGTTGATCCTCATACAATTGGCCTCAGCCCATCGATCCAGCTTGTCCAGATCACTCTGCAGAGCCTCCCTACCCTCCAGCAGATCAACACTCCCGCCCACCTTGGTGTTTTCTCCAAACTTACTGAGGGTGTGCTTGATCCCCTTTTCCAGATCATTGGCTTTAGTTAGCATTCCAGCTTCTTTTCTCTGGACACTGTGTTCTTGGCTGAGGAGTATATTGCTTTTCATAAGATTGTGTAGTAAGACTGTATTCTAGCTCTTACAAACGCTGTTAGTCTTTATGTGTTCACCTTAGGATTTTTTCTGCTTAAGTTTCAGAACTGCAAGGTTTCAAGGTGCTTAAAATAAATGAGTCAGTGTCTCCTCCTGCCCCCAATTGTTCTCAAACAGGGAGCTCTTGCTAAAATTATTTCGGGTGATGCCCCTGACAAAAATATGGATGAACCAAGTCCCAGTTTCCACTGAGCTTCGGTATGTTAAACAGGCACAATTTATTTTTCTTTTCTGCAGTTCTCCTTGGCTCTCGCTGGGTCAGAAGCAGCAGTAGCACTTTGGCTGTTCCCAGTTGAGTCATTTGGAATGCAAATCACTTTGCAGTGATGCCAGAGGTTCCCTTTGTGCTGGGCTTTATATAAAACGCGTGACAGATTGTCAGCTTTGTCACATTCCCTCGGCAGCAGGGAATAGGTAGAGACTCAGCTTTTGATTCAGACAGAACTGGACTCGTATTGGAAGATCTTAGTCAGCTTTGCTTTGCAGATAACTAAAGCATGTCAGAATGCTACGTTGAGCGCTTCTGACTTGATATTTTGATACTAACGCAATTCCTCACTGCAAATAAATACCTACTGGGGAAGCTTAGCAGAACATGTGCTCTGGGGAATACTGTCCCCTGGCACCCTTCCCTGCTTTTCTTCGCTATCTGAACTAGGTATGAAGAACAAAAGTGAAGCCTAGGGAAAATATCAAGCAGTACAAATTACTTGCTCTTGATTGATCTTGCACCATCTGGGCTGTAGGGATTTGGGGTTGCAGGAGCGTGTGCTACATCTATGTACAGAATATTGTAGGAAGGGTGGCTCTTGTCCTATAATTAAGTGCTGCAAGTCTGGGCAGGGACTCTCTTCCCAACTGGACAAATAGATTTCCTCTGAAAATAAAGCAAGTGGTGGATTTTTACTCTGTTTCTGAGCTTTGCTGCCTATTAAATATCTAGGTTAGTTTGCATGAAACCAAACTCAGTATGTCTCGAACTGAAGTGTCTCTGGAGAGCTGGACTAAAGCAGACCTTGTGTGAATCTGTGGTACAGTAGTGATTAAATAAGTTGTATCCATAAATTGTATTGGGTTTTGGTTGCTTTTCATGGAATCATAGAATGTTTTGGGTTGGAAGGGACCCCTAGAGGTCATCTAGTCCAACCCCCCTGCAGTGAGCAGGGACACCGCTAACTAGTTAAGGTTGCTCAGAGCCCCGTCCAGCCTGGTCTTGAATGTTTCCAGGGATGGGGCAATAACTTTTAAGTTAACATTTAAGCTACACTTGTCTCAAAAATCCTCATTCAGAAGGAAACACTGAACATTCTTTTGCTACTTAAACCCAAGTTACTAGGAAAAGGCATGGATGTCTTCACCATTTCAATTTTAAATAAAGAAAAGTTGACATTTTGGGGGGAAAACAATTTTGGGGCAGTGGAATATGTTTTAAATTATTGTGCAAATCTTAATTTCTGAGATCATCAGCTTTGATTCTTCTGAGTAGTTCTGTCAGCACAATCTACAACACTGATGTTGAGGAGCTTGCTCTGAAAACTGAGGATAGTGACTGTAAAAGTTACTATTTGCATGGTGAATAGAAAGAGTCATGAGATAGTATTCCGAAAGGGAGGCTCTAATAGAGTTATGTAAGTCTTAAAAGTTATGTAGCTGTCTGGGTCTGTCACCCTGACTTCCTGTGCCCTGGGTTTCAAAGATGCTGCTCTTTTGGGTCTTCTACATAATTTTGTAGGTACAATAACTTCTTAAAAATTAGATTTTGATTAAAAGACTTTGAACAAACTCCTTGTGTTAAAATAGGACCTCATGTTCTCTCTTCACTGTCACATTAGGTTCTCTGTAACTTAAATCCACTCTAAATCCAGAATCTCGGTGCTGAAGTTACTTGCATTATACAGTTCCTCTCTGAGGGAATGTGAATTGGAGCAAGCAGATGGAGCAAACAGATGAGCAGACTTCACAAGCGTTTTGAATATAGGTCCTGAAAGGGGATTTAGTATAGGAAGCAAATAGATCTGGATGAATAAGAACAGCACTCATATGGCTTTTTTCTTTCTGGCTTTGGCTTTCCTATAAAGTTTGCTTTCTTTGAACGTAGATCAGAATTTGCCCTGGATTCGAGATCCTCTTTTTTTTTTTTATGGGGCCTCTGCTTTTCAAACATAGGTGCTCTCTCTGTACCACAGGTGATTTTGTTCTTTTTCAGCAGTTTTGTGGTCTAATTCTCTTATCTTTGTGCCAAGAATTTTTCCTTTGGGACAGGAGGTAGTCTAGAGGCAGGACACTATGAAATCCAGATGGGCTACACATTCAAAATGGAGCCGATGAAGCTGACAGCCTCTTTGCAATCTTCTCAAGCTTGTCTTTGTATGGGTGATAAAATCAGCACTCAAACTTCTGCCAAGTTTTTTGTTTGCTGTGTTTTGGGATTATTTTTTTTTTTAATTTCTCTTCTACTTTGCAGCCAGATTTACTCACTTTACTTTCACTTCTGTCTGAACTGTTGCAGGTAGAAGTTTTAGCTTTGTTGCTTTTGTGCTGGAATTGTGATTTACAGGTCCTTGACAGCCTTGGTAGCATGTGAAAGCCATGCAGGGTTGCAAACTTGCATAACTCTACAGAGCAACTTGTAGGCAGCACTGTGTACACTAAGACCATTCCAGCAGTATCGTTGAACTCCCATTCTACATGTTTTTCTGTGAGTTACCTATTTAGGCATTTACAGCTTCAAATCTGGAATAAATGTACTTTTTAAAGCTAGTTCAGACTGCACACAGTAGTTATAATGTGGGAGGTACTGTGTAACCACTGGTAGATTTCTGTTACTATGTGTGGAGCTGCAGACAGTTCGCATGTTAATGCCCTAATTTGAAAATCTGGGTTTGAAGGACAAGCCACGAGTTAAGTGCCCAGTAGCATGTTCCTTGTGCCATAGGTGGCTTACATTAAATTATCTAAGTTGTCAAACAGCTTTACATTTGGAAAATCTTGTGAGCAGCATGCCATGTTAATTTTAAATATACATTAAATATTTTTCTGTTTTTATAGGAACTGGAGACATTGTTGCTGTCATGATTACAGAATCAAAGGTTAAGGAGATCCTGAATTATTTGGAAAAGAATATCTCTGTCCTGATGGCAATAGCAGTGGGGTCCCGTGTTCCTCCAAAAAACTTCAGTCGGGGCTCTCTAGTCTTTGTGTCAATATCCTTCATTGTTTTGATGATAATTTCTTCAGCATGGTTAATATTTTACTTCATCCAGAAGATCAGGTATACAAGTGCACGTGACAGGAATCAGGTAAGGGGACTCCTTTTTTTTTTTTTTCCTGTAAGTTCTGGAGGTGACATTTCTGTATGCAGGAGTCAATACAGAACAAATAATTTCTAAGGCATGTCTATCAAACCAGTGTTCAGAACCTCTTAGTTCCAAGGCCTGGACAAGGTTTTTTGTATAGCAAAGACTTCTAATCCTGAGCAGCACCAGTACAAGATGGTATTACATGACAGGAAAGAATAGAATTGAAGCAAAATACTTGGGTTTTAGTAAGTCCAAGAGGAAGATAAAATCTGTGTTAGCTGAATAATATATACTGTATGTATGTTGGGAATGGGGAGGAAAGTTAAATTGTGGATGAACTTGCATAGTTTAGGGGAATACAGAGCTAATGTTATGAATTGTATCCATGTTATTAAGGATAGCTTTAGTAATAGTTAAGGTAATTGAGAAGTTGTATAAAGGTATTTCCAAACTATAATATGTCACAAATATTAGGGTAAGAAAACAAAGGTACAGAGCTGCTTAGTGACCTGCATGAACTTTCAACTTTTCAAGATCACACTTAGTATGGACTGCCTAATCCTCCTGGTCATACATATTAAGTAAAATTTTGTCCAATATGCCTTTTTTACATTCTTTTTCAACTCTAATTTGTTTAAGAACTGAATTAAGTACGGCCAAACTTGGAGATCTTGACTAAATCAAGTCATCAACTCAGATATGGATTAAACTTTAGAAATAAATGTTTTACTAGCGTGGACTTAATGACCCACTGCCTCCATAGTGCCTTGGTTTTTACTGAGAAGGGTCAGTAAATCTCGTGAAAGCTGCTGTGCTCTCTTTGCCTTTGTGTATCTCTGTCACGGCTAACTTGCAAACCTGCTGGCTCTAGTCATTCTGCCCCTTCCCCGCTGAATTAGAGACAGGAGCTCACTTTGAGGCAGTGTTTTGGATCTTTAAAGATGTTTTCTCAAACCTAAACCAAATGCAAACTTAAGAAGTCTCAGTTGTGACAGGATTTCCGTTTTAGTTTCTATAAATAGTATCTGATGCTGCAGGTCCCATGGGCATGCTGTAGATTTTCCTAAGGATGTCATTCTTAAATGACCACACTGTAACCGGTACTTAGTGTGGTCCCTTGGGATCGTGAAAGTTTAAATATAACTAATACTGAATGAATGTCTATGGAATACTAAATTGTGCCTGCTGCATCCCCTACATGGCTCTAGGCTTCTTCCAAATGTCCGTGTTTCAAAACAGTTGCTCCATGGGGAAAGGGTTCTTGTGACCTTTTTTCTTTCTTTAGATTTTCACAAAGGTCAGGAGAAACTTGATGAAAATTTTATGTGGTTTAAAAAGCTGAGTTTATTAAACTTTAATAAGAAGGTGGCGACAGCTACAGCTTATTTCTAAAGAGCTTTGAGAGCTTTCACAGAGAGAAGGCTGTACTGTTAGTGATGAAATAACTTGGTTTAGGCTATGATCTTGTTTTTAAGTTATGTTGAGGCACACTTTTTTAAAAAAACATCAAAAACGTACCGTGTTTTGTAGATAATGCAAGTAGATACTGGTATTTCACATCATTACTCTTGCACACTTCCTCCAGAGGTATGAAATGCTTTTGCATGTGGTGGTGGCCTTCTCCATCAAAACAGTTCTGGGTTTTAAAAGCAAGCATATGCTATATGCCTATGCCAATAAAAAAGTATTTGTTAAAATTAGAAAATGGAAGAGATGGATCTCTTAAATGGAAGAGATGAAAGTTACTGTTTAGCAAATTGATTTACATAAGAGAACATGTATAAATTTTGGAAGAGTTTTACTGAAATACTATGCTTCCAATAGGAAAATAATCTTTCTTTAAGATTGCTTGTAGTGCATATACAGTCATATGCAGTACCACTAAATATAAATGCTACCCACAATTACTTAGTTGGTAGTGTTGAGCATTTAAGTTGAAATGCCTTTTCAGCCTTCTTCCTCTCTTAGCAATCGCACTTTCAGTTATGCAATCATTATCTACTCCAGCAGTGTGCCAGTGTGTTCTGTGTCATTAAGTACTCAGGCCAATATGCTTGTTCCAGGAGGTGTAAATTAGATTTGCTTAAATTGACCATTTTCTTGAATGTTGAAGTTAGGATGAGATTTCTGACTTCAGGAAGTATGTAATTTCCCCCTCCCAGCTCTGTTTCTGATACTGCATTTCCTACGTGGATATACTTCAGTACTTGGGACTGTGTATCTCATTTTTTTTCAAATCCATATTCTAAAAAATATAAAATAAAGAGCCGTGCTTCTGTGAGAACCACAAAAAAATGTACTTGTGTAATTCTAGAATAATGGTGGTACAGTTAGTGGTCTTGACACAATAAATATGGTTGTGGTGGCCTTCTGAGGTCTCTGTGTTTCTCAAATAAAAGCAGCCTTCTTAGTTTCAGTTTCTGTGCAGAGAAAGTCTATGATACAAGGGGGTACACCTTATGAAGGATTTGATTTTCAGCTGTAGAGGAGGTAGGCACAAAAAATGCACATTTGTTGCCAGCTACATTGGAGGGTTTGGTAGGTGCAGTTTACATTGTCAGAAACAGCCTGTCTCTTTCAAAGGCAGAGTACTTGGTACGAGACGGAGGTGAAGTATGAAATACATGAACTTACCTTGTTGCAACCAATGTCAACCCAATCTGATGTCTCAGGTTCCTGAAACAAGACGACTTGAGCTCTGTTCCACTCAGTGCCCCATCTCTGGGATCCCATGGACCCGCTGGCAAACAGCCAATCTTTGTTGGCTGGGCATTGCAGTAGGAATCAGCACTTGAATTGCAGAAATGGCTCCTTATCCAACAGTGGTGGTCATAAAAACAGCATAAACATCAAAAAATAGCTTGGCCTCTGCACTCAGATTGAGGTTACTCTTCAAAGCAGTATTCATTTCAGCTTTATTTAAGTCTGCATTCATTGGCTTATTTAGATTTCGTGACCTGTAATTTTTTTTTTTTTTTTTTTTTTTTGTGAGGTCCTTTGTGGTTTCTGGTAATAGCAAGAGAGAAACTAGGTTACACTGAGAGGATCTCTTACATCTCAGAATAAGACAGCCTGCTCGAGGAAGGGGGGGAAATAGTAATAATTCAAGCTTAAGGAGAGAACAAGGGGTATACTACAGCACACAATAAAAAGCAATATGAACAGAATATAACGGAAATCCTTGGGAGCGCATATTGCTTCAGCTTTTATCCTGTGGGCTAGGTTTGACCAGTTTTGTCACACCAATGCTGGATCACTTTAGTGGACTTCTATACAGTCCATGAGGTTTATGTCTATGCTAATCGAGTGCGGTTTTGGGCTCAACTGCTGGAGTTTTTTTTTCTCCTGACAAATCTTTAACTGTGGGCTTTGTGTACGCTTTTTATATTGTGTGTTGGCCTACTGCCATAGCGTGTATTGCAATGCTAGTACTGAGCCCAAATAAGTCATTATAAAGGACAGTAATGAAGCTTGATTATCAGAGTTAATTTGTGTTCTTTTCTTTGTCACTTTATTAGCGTCGTCTTGGAGATGCTGCCAAGAAAGCCATCGGTAAATTGACAACCAGGACAGTAAAGAAGGGTGATAAGGTATAATAATAATATTTCAACTTGAGCATTATATTTAATTTTTGCCAGGGAAAACAATCTCAGTTTTTCCTTTCTGCTCCTGATTTATGACCTTGCCTTCCTTGTTGGAGGCTTACTTTGTCTTGTGGCACAGTATTTTGTATAACTTTTAGTATCAATGTATGCTGCAAGTCTGTACATTTCAAATCAGTTTTTCTTGCTTAAATGCTACTTGCGCTCCATTTGGCAACTGTGACTGAGAGTGGGTTTGTGTGCTAGCTCACTGGGAGGTTTTGCTGGTAGGAGTACATAGGGCTAGCATTGTTTATGTGGAATTCTGTAAGCTTAGAATCTTTCCATATGTAAGTTGTGTAAAGTCAAAATAAATTTAAAAGGTAATAAAGCAGAATCTTTTATGTAAAACACTAATATCCAGTAATCTAAGGGGGAGTATAAAGAGGTCTTTCATTAAAGATAGTAAATGTTACTCCAAGAATATTTCTTGCCAGTATACAAACTAAAATATATGGTGTGTTAAGTCCTAAGCTTTTTCCACTTTTATGAGCAATACTGCCTTGTCTTTGATTCTGAAAGGAAAAAATAGTCACTTAGTCTTGCTTAATTTTTGCTCTTTAATTTGCAGAAGGCAAGAGAATTGTGGCTATGATTTGATTTTTTGAAGAGATTATTTCCTTGGGCCTTCTTAGTGCAATTCCTTTTTATCTTATCAACACTATCAGCAATGGAAGATTGGGAAGAGTTGGAAAAATTTGCTTCCAGAGAGAAGGCAGAAAAAATGTCTTTCTGCTTTTTCTCCCTCCCTGTGTAGTTTTATTTCAAGACAGCCTACTACACTAAATCTTTTCTGTGGGTATGGGAGTACATATAGATAACAGGAACTTTTCCATATTAAAAGATGCTGTTGTGTCTTGACAGCATAAATTCAAAACTGGCAGGTGACGTGTAGGTTGCAGTACAGACAGCATGAGATGCACACACGGGTGAACAGAGGGTAGGAGAAAACCTGTCTTTCACCAGAACAGCCCTTTGGAATTCTCTGCATGCAGCACTCACTGGTGCTGACCGGGGAGTGTCTCTTGCCTTCCTGTGGTTCCCCTCTCGGTGTCTTGCTTGTAGCTTGCTGGCATTGAAAAGAATAATGAACTTGAACTAAGAGAAGGCACAGTCTGTTTGTGTGTCGTAGGCCCAAACATTTTAAATACGTATTGCTGATGCCATATCTACATCCAAATGAAGTCAGCCCTTTTTCATTAGAAATTTTAAATTCTCCTGTTTAAAACAATTTTTTTTAAAAGTGTAACTTCTCGAAAACAGAAGAGAGGAGCCAGTCAGTCAGTGTTCCTCATCTTCCTATCTGGATAAGAGTGATGATAATGCTGTAAGTAAGCAGCAGACAAAAATATGGGACTGCTCTGAAATAAGTAAAAATTACTAGTTCTGGCTATAAAAGGGAATTTCAGGATTCTTACCCTGCCAAAAAAAACCCTGAGTAAAATGGAAGTTTTAGCTCCGATCTGAAGTAAAGCCTCTAGGAAAATTACCACTATATTTTATAATGGTTTGACTGAATATTAGAAGCATCTTAGGCTTTAGCCTATGTTTCAAATGATCATTTACCAGCTCCAAATGAGGGGAGAGTTTTGTATGTATGAGGTACTTTTCTTTCTCAAGTCATGTTGGAATATAATAACCCAGTCATTGGGTTTGTATCTTCTTAGTAACAGCCACTTGGCACAAGGCAGTTCATGTGCTAGTCACAGCTACTTTTACATTTGTCATAGCCTCAACTCTTGACTTGAATTTTCATTCTATTCATTTTAGGAAACAGACCCAGACTTTGATCATTGTGCTGTCTGCATTGAGAGTTACAAGCAGAACGATGTTGTTCGCATTTTACCATGCAAGTAAGCTAGTAAAGTTGCTGTGTTTGGAAACTATTCTTCCTTTGTGCTCCTTTGCTTCATTTCATGTAATATGTGCATTGTAATTTACAGACACATTTGTTAGATGTTTCCAGTCTTAATAAGAGACACTTTAAAAAGGTGTGAAGGTGAGTGCTGGCACTGTTATGACAGTGGAGATTAAACAGAAGATTATATCTTGAAGATGGGCAGTTTGGGTGTATCAGCAGTGGAGGTACTAAGATTGTAAGGGGGGTGTGCAGATTTAAGGACCGAATGGTGGGTGGACACAGAAAGCTTAAGTATAGTGAACCAGGTACAGCTGCAGCATTCTGCACCGTAGATGTGCAACATTGCCTGCAGGTTTCTGAAATGGTGTAGGAAACAGAGATGCAGTCTTTCCAACCTTCATACCTCCTCTGACATCAGTCAGCCACTGTGCTATCATCTGTCTTTGGTCTCTCCAGTGCAGTGTGTTCTTGGCTTGTGCCTGAAGATTTGTACTTGCTGGATATTCTGCATTGGTGCTTAAAATGTAACAGCTTCCTTCTCCTTGGATGCCATTCTCTTGACACTTAACAGGTTTTCAGTTTCTTTCCATTCCACTTCCATTCTTGAGTTGTTTCGGGATATTTGCTCTTCAAGAGGTGCTTTTAAGTGCTTTTCCACCTGGTGATTAGTTTTAATGAATCAGTACATTTTAATAGCCTTAAGCCTAACCAAGGACATCTTTCCCTTGTATTCTGAAATGCAAAGCTTTCTCGTTATCTCCAGACAAAAAGAACTTGTAAGTTATGTTGTATGTATGCAGCTAAGATACAGTAATTTGGCCAGTGCTTGGTATATAAATAGTGTTCTGCATGATACTCTAGAAGCAACAGAGCCATGGTGTTGGAGTCGAGCTTCAGTCACAGAGCAGCACATAAGAGCTTGTTATTGGTCTTCTAAATCCTCCTGCAGGCTGCTCTGAATAGCTGGGATATTTTTCTTCTAAAGCATAACGAATTTCTGTCATCATAAAAGGGAAACACTATTTTTTTATATCTTATTGATCAAAATATGAGTGCATTCTACTTCTGAAACAGAAGTTTAATTCAGTTTACTGTTCTCTATTCCTTACCTCTTGGACTGTGGGAAACAATGAACTGTTTGAGATTCTCGTTGGTGTTTTTCAGTTAATATACCCTACAAATGTTTGTTTAGAAACTCCCATTAAAATATTTGGGAACAGAAGAGCTTGGTTTCAGACTTGTAAAGGTTTGGGAGCTTTTGGTTGTGCAGATGTGTGTGCATTTCTATAATTCGGCCATTTTTACTGAAAGATGATGTCATCTTGCCCATAAAAATGTACTTCCAAGTGTTAAGTAAAGATCCAGAGATTTATGTCCTGTATTACAATCTCAAGTAAAGCTTGCCTATGTGGGTTGAGCTGTAGCCTTTGATTTGTTGTGTAAAAGATTATTTTGAAATTAGAGGAGAAACTCCTGGAAAACTGCACACCAATTTTGGATCACTGAGCTGATTTTTATTTTTTTTTTTTTTTTTAAAAATTGCCTCTTAAGAAAGCGTTACTTGCGTTGTTCAGGGTAGTACTGTGAGGCTCAAGGGTGTGGAAAGGAGGTTCACAAGTCCTGCTCCTCTGTGCCTTTCTCTTTGATACTGAACAGAGGTCAGAGGGAGGTGCTTGCCGACGGTGAGAGAATGAGCCTTCATCTGGTAGGAAAGAATCTTCTCCCACTAAGGACAATGCAAGAGTAGGACTAAAAGTAGACTTCCTTAAATAAACAACTGCTACTGTCCAAGCAATTGATATGTTGCTAGTATCAGCAGATGTGATCAGACCACTTAACCATAGAATCATAGAATGTTTTGAGTTGGAAGGGACCCCTAGAGGTCATCTAGTCCAACCCCCCTGCAGTGAGCAGGGACACCGTTAACTAGATCAGGTTGTTCAAAGCCCCATCCAACCTGGCCTTGAATGTTTCCAGGGATGGGGCCTCCACTACCTCTCTGGGCAACCTGTTCCAGTGTTTCACTACCCTCATTGTAAAGAATTTCTTCCTTATATCTAGTCTAAACCTACCCTGCTTCAGTTTAAAACCATTATGCCTTGTCCTGTCACAAATTAATTAAAAAAAAATATTTTTTTTAAAGTCCATTTCCTTCAGACACCTTTGAGCCGCAGTGCTGCAGACAGGAAGCTCCACCAGGGAGCAGCTGTCAGGGACAGTTACAGCTGCTTCAGGGAGCTGGATGAAGGTGCACTTGGCTGCCATCTCAGCACAACCGCCCCCATGCAATCTCCCATGTAAAGGAGATATCAAGGCTCTTGTGTAGATCCTTTTCTGTTCTGTTTTTCACATGAATATAAGGTCAGTGAAGGCTCAGATTACATTCCTGCCGAAGGCTGTATGCTGGTGTCAGGGACAGTTACAGCTGCTTCAGGGAGCTGGATGAAGGTGCACTTGGCTGCCATCTCAGCACAACCGCCCCCATGCAATCTCCCATGTAAAGGAGATATCAAGGCTCTTGTGTAGATCCTTTTCTGTTCTGTTTTTCACATGAATATAAGGTCAGTGAAGGCTCAGATTACATTCCTGCCGAAGGCTGTATGACAACTTTCATGTTCGCTTTCTACTTCTTTTTTTTAAATCTCACTTTTCATCTGCTGCAGTTCAGCTCTGAGTTGAGTGCAAAACCATCTTGGCTAGACAGATGCATTGAGATGAATGCTTTCCACAAGACATTTTTATACTTGTAGATGAAAGGCGAACCAGTACCTGCAGAGATGAGCCAAATAAATTTCAGATCATGTGTAAGACCCTTCAGTCTTCAGCATTTGCGATGCTTCTCCCCAGATCTTGCTTTGGAGGTTTAATCCCTTTCTACTTCTTGATACTTCAACTTCTCATTTTAGTGCAACATGCAAAGTTAGTTTAAAAAAGAAAACCACAACACACACAAAAAAACCTTACGAGAGAGTCTCTAAGGCAAATTGCAAGAACACCATGGAGAAAATGGCTCCACCAAGAGGAAGCAAATTAAAGGCTAGAAGTTCTTACTGTGCCTGTTGAGGAATCTATAATCATTAGACAGTAGGAATCACTGACATGACATCCTTGCTGCTTTCATCAGTTTAAAAGTAGCATTTTCTTTTGGTACTACAACTGTTCGCTGCAGTTAAGTATGGTCTATCACTGTGCCACAGCAGAGAGGAGTCTGGTTTGAGCAGACACACAGCACCTAAAATTCCATCAAGACCGTGATGTAAAGTTTTGTGGCGGGGGGAAATTGTGGCAAATTTAAACTAAAATGAAAATTATTGCAAACAATGCAGTTGAATTGCTATCATTCATTTTATGCTTCAGAGAGAGAAATACGTTCAGTACCAGCAGCCTATGGGCATACCTATAGCTTTTAGTGCGCAGAGACATAAGGCAGCCATCTGTTTTAGACTTACAAGCCTGAGGAATGTCTCTGTCTTTTGTGAATATCATTATGTAAGTTAAAAATAAGTAGTGTAAGCAAATGTCAGAAGGATTCTAGCAAAAGACAAACCTCATGGACAATTTTCTTTATTCAGGTAGTTTTACTTTACCACCACATGGCTGCATCTAGGAGGTGAAGGGACTTTGGGTGAAAAGTGATCGAGGAGGGGGTAGTGTGAAGGACTAGTGAGAGATAAGAGAACGGGAGAGCAGGTTAGAGAAAAGCAGGGAGTGACATTGGAAAGGGCAGAAACATGGCTTGGGAGGGAAGGAATCTACAAGGTAGCAAGAGAATTAAAGTAGTGAATATGTTAAAATAAATGTCTTTTGAGTCAATTTCGTAGTATTCCCTGTACTGGGCAAGAAGGGGGAAAGTGACAAAAGCAACTAAGCCAGATTTCCATCAGTTTGATTCTGTGCTGCTGCAAATAGCTGCTTTGGTTTGGTTTTGTTAAGAGCAAATTAACACAATATACCATCCTTTTGCTTACTGCAATGCCTCTGCATCACCCCCATTTTCTCTGCTACCTGCTTGCAAGGGCAGTCTCTCTTTTCCCCCAGCAATGCTACGTATTTGTGGAAAGCACTGAGGTCGCTCTCCCATGGCATTGCCTGCCAGGGATGGGGACATGGCACCTTCCTCCCTGCCGCAGCAGGCCAGAACGTCTCTCTTCAGCTGTGCTAGCTGTAATGGGCTGCCGGCAGCAGGGCAGGAAGGACCCGTGTGCTGCTTGCTGGCCTGGCTGGGAGGTTTGTACCCCAGGGCAAGGGGAGCAGCTGCCTCCAGCAGTAGCCAAAGATGCTACTTTGCAAGCAGCATGTTGATCAGGTCCCTTTGGTGGGATGCTGCACTGAGAGCAGGGAGGTATGGTAAGCTCTTGGGAAACAGCACTCATAAACTCGTTCAAACCCTTCTTGTGTGACATGCGAATTCAGAAGCATTACACCACTGAAAGAGATTTCTAACTCGCTTTTTCTCTGTGAAATGTTGCAAAGAAGCTGTGTTGTACATCAGAGTCGGCGTGATGGTGTTGATGATAAGCTGGAGGGCAACTGGCTTGGGGATGCTGACAGAGTGGAAAAATACCTGCAGGTCACCTGTTTGGAGTTATGCCCGCATGGGAGACTCCTTCAGTGCTACCAGCCTGGCTGCTAGCCATGCTTCCTCCAGCCCCGAGGCTTGAGAAGCAGCAAAAGCTGTGTCACACTTGACTCCCCGGTGCATGGCTCCAGGGGGAGCATTGTCAGCCGCTGTGACCTACAGCAACTCACTAAGAACTCTTCAGATTTATGGTCTTGGAAAACAAGTGACAGAAATATGAAGACAGAGAAGGCTTATGATAGCAGAAAATACAAGGGCTTACTTCGTCAGGCTGAGTTTTTAAAATAATTCACGTATTTACTATCTTCATTGCTGTATAACTGCTTTTTCACTCTTGCAAGCAGAGAAATCCAGACAGAGTCTGAGCCACGATGATGGTATCAGCAAGCTTTTTAAGGAGTAGATAAACTGCGTAAGTAGTAGGTAGAGCCATGCTGATCTAAATCAATAAATAACCTTTGGGGAACTGCACTTTTTTGAAACACATTAATAAACATCCTTGAAGGTTTAGGAACTAAAAGCAAAGAAATAAGAGGTAACAAAAAAATAGTTGAGCTCTTTTGGTGCATTTGAACTGTATCAAACTGCTAATGGCTCTAAAATAATTCATAATATTTAGCAGATGCATGTTGGCATCCATATCAGTCGCCTGCTTCACTTGATCTGAGTGCTTCTACAGCACTGATTAGCCGATAACGATATATTAAAGCCGTTTTCATACTTCTGTGGAGTCTTGATGTCTGCTGTTTCCCAAAATATTAGATTTTCAGGTTTTTCCTACTCTAAAAAACAGACTTCAGAATCTTAAAAGGAAACTTAAGCAACTAAAAGCTATAATTTGCCTAACATAGAAAAATAGCATCTCTGTATATTTCAGAAGATTTCAGACCATTTTCTGTCACCCATTTCTAAACATTGATTCCTGTAGTTTTGTGAGTAGTAAAGGGAATGCATTAAGATCTAATAACGGTAGAAGTGAGTTTGTATTTTGTGCAATAATTTGAACAGTAAGTAATGTATATATCCTGGTTTTCATGGTTGCTGTATTGCTAAAAGACTCAGTCCAGCAAAGTGGTGGCAACAACAAACACGAGGGTTTGGGTTTTTTTGTATTGCAATCAGCACAGAATACTGGCAATTTTAGAATTTGTTCTGCTGGTTTAATTAAAAAAGAAGCTATCTAAAAGTTTAAGTAGTTCTCATTGTAAAAAATATTTGTTTGCAAATTATGTATGTGCCTTGTCTGTTCTTCTAGGCACGTTTTCCACAAAGCCTGTGTAGATCCATGGCTTAGTGAACACTGTACGTGTCCGATGTGTAAACTGAACATTTTGAAGGCACTGGGAATTGTGGTAAGTTGCACTGTTGTGAGCTCTTCTTTCTCCTGTGTCTGAGACCCAGGAATAATTGTGGGGAAAAAGGGAGAAGGGTGTTCCAGTACCCGTAGTTAAAACATGTTTGGGTTTGGTTTTTTTTTTACCAATTTCTTTGCTGCTGATAAAGCTCACTTGTTGTTCCTTTCCCTGGATGGTCACTGGGAATAATATTGTTATATTTCCATGTGTAACAATTTCTTATCTACTGGAAGTCTACTGGGTTCTCTATAATTTTCCCTTTTCTCAACTTCTTTCAACCCTTCTTTGTTAAATTTACTCTGTAAATATCTTGGGTTTGTTGTGGTCTCCCACAGACACTCTTAAATTTGTTTACACTTTAAAAGCCATGCCCTAGCTAAGGCCAGAGAGTTTTCTTCAAGCAGCTCATGGCTTATGGGATCCCTGGGGACTGCTTTTGTTGACCAGTTCACAAAGGGATAGAAGTGAAGAACCTCAAAGAGCATTTTTCCATCTCTCCCATATGAGGAAAAAATTATAAGGTGGGGAGCAATCCTCATTTCAGAAGAAAGAAATAAGGAAGAAAGAGAAAAGCGTATGAAGATACTGTCTGAAGCAGCTTTTGAATCAAGCCAGTGAGAATAATCAGGCCTCCATTTTTAGCTGTGCCAGTTGCAAATTTGCATACTTTCTGTGAAATAGTTGCAGATATATTGTGGGTGATCTATTTTTGCAATTAATAGCATACCTGGATTTTTAGAGGAGGATACAGTAGAATTTGGTGCTTGACGTCATTGCTCGTGGTAGTAAACCATACAAGCATATTTGAGTCCCTCTCTTGAATCTTAATCCTTTTTTCTGCTTCTTCCTCCACCTCTTTAAGGTGGACTTAACTTTGGATAGAACTTTCTAATTCATGTGGTTTTTTTCTCCTGTGTGATCTGAGAAGAGCCATAGTGGCTGAATTGTGTGTGTGTGGGGGGGGGTTACTCAATTTATAGCTTTGCTATAAATTTATACCTTTGTAATGTGGAATTGCTTGTTTTTCCAGCCAAACTTGCCATGTACAGATAATGTAGCCTTTGACATGGAAAGGCTCACCAGAGGCCAGCCAGCTAGCAGGCGATCAGCACTCAGCGATTTTGCCAACGACAGCTCTCTCAGCCTGGAGCCCCTGCGCACCTCTGGGATGTCACAGCTTCCACAGGATGGAGAGCTAACGCCAAGGTCAGGAGAGATCAACATTGCTGTGACAAGTAAGTTTTCTTTGGCTTCCAGTACGGTTCTATGGTTTTCCTGCTTTGCTGTAGCTCTGTGCTGCAGGGTCTTGGTGAAAGATTTCCCTGCAGGGACAAAGGTGACCTCAGTGTCTCTGTAAGAGGCATATGCTCCATATTGAAACCGATAACTCTAGGTACGACAGTGCCAACGCTTTCATTATTAATGGTATATCCATTTAGATCTGCGTGCAAAGAACACTGGATGAACTAAGATGGCAACCCTCCTGAATTTGGTAACTAGTACAAGAAGCTGGATTGCCAGAACCATTATTTACCCTTTCAGAATACTTTACATGCAATAATTTATACAAATATAAATATTTTAGCTGATTGCTATTTCTGCAGACATTTTTTTCCCCTGAGAACATTACTACTGGAATTCTGACGTCTCTTAGCAGATGGGTTTTCTTCCAAAATTTGTGAATTAAAAAAAAATATTTAATGTACCAACATTTGAGTATTGCCCAAGTGTGTTATGACATCAGAGAACTGTTCCTGCACTGCTCGCAAGCTCTTATCCAGAAGAACAGCATGGGAAATTGCCACTCATTGGATTTTACCTAGGGTTTTTGATGTATAATAGCATTATAATGAATACAGTATGCGTGGAATTGCATCATTTTTCCATATGCTGTACAGTCTCAATTTGATGCATGAGTGGTTGTTTTTCTGGCTGAATTGCAAAAGTAGAATCCATGCAGTACAACAGTCTAATTTTCTCCTTTTGTTTTGCTTATGTGCATCTATGATCTAGATTTTGAATTTACTGACACTGTTTGTCACTGATATATGTATCTATAATTGATACAGTCCATTAGAGTGTTTCTTTAGATGCTGTAGCAAAGTAAATGTCTCATTAAAAAAATCTTACCTTATGAAACACATAGTCCATATCCAGAAACGTCCTGATCTGAGAAGGAAAAATCCACATACAAAATCTAGATTCTTTACAAAACCAGTAAGTCACTTTGTCATGCAGTGTTCAGCATCTGATTCATCTTGTGCTCTGCTGAGCAGAGAGCAAATCTGTGGGTGTGCTGCTTTTCTTGTCAGGGGTGGGAAAACTCCATAGTTTAACTGAAACTTTTCACTACTTGGTTTTACAGGAAGCATTTTTACTGTCTGTTCCCAACTGTAGTACTGCTCTTGCACAGATGGGATGCCAGGGTAAAACAAGAAATAATCAGCAACAGCTCATTCTGACAATGTTTATAAAATAAAGTGTTAGAAAAGGCTGTTCAAATGTTTGGACTTTATGGATGACACATGCACTTTTTGAGGCATGAGAGTTAAACTGAAGGCCATATTCATCAAAAGTATTTGTATTCCAATCTATTACTATGTGCCAAATTGATCCTGAGTAGGGAGAACTGTGAATAGTCAACATTCTTTAATAGCCTTCTTTATACTACAGTTTATTTTTTTGTGTCTGTATGTGTACACTAATATTGAAACTGTTGTATTCCCATCTACTAAATGGAAAACTCTAGTTATATATTACTGTTGAACAAGCTATCCTATTCTTTTTGTTGTTTTTTTTAAAAGAAACACTATAGCATTTATTCAGGAGGGAGGGGGTGAAGACACAAATGAACTGTGAAAGTATACTGAGTGTGCTGATATCAAGAGCTGCATCTCAGCAAATCTAAACCAACCCTGACAACCCTTTCTGACTTGGGGGCGGACAGAGTTTTCATTACATTCTCCCTTGTTCCTGCATTTCACTTTACATTGTTAAGTAATCTCTATCACTAACCCTTGGGCTCAGCCAGGAAATATTGTTGTGCCATGCTTTTTTTCCACACCTCTCTCCACTTCTTCTTTGCTAGCCTTCTCCAGTCAGTAACTCTGGCTAACCTCCTTCTGCTTCACCTCCTGGTGCCAGTCATGGCTTAGAAGCCTCTTGCCTTCCGCCAGTGGTGTTTGAGGGAAATAGTGGCATCGCTTTGACATAAGCCTTCTCCCACGAGTGATTTCCTCCCTTTCCTTTGTCAACAGAAGAATGGTTTATTATTGCCAGTTTTGGCCTCCTCAGTGCCCTTACACTCTGCTACATGATCATCAAAGCCACAGCTAGCTTGAATGCTAATGAGTAAGTAAATATTCAGATGTTTCTATATATTTCTGGTGGGTGTGTGTCATGGACAACATTGGGAACAAATACCCAAGAGAACAGAGAAGGGGAAAAATGCAGCTCTCAAAGAATCAAATGCCTTCTCTGGTTTTCTCAGATGTAAGTGTCTCTGTTAACAGTAGGTTCCAGGGTAAAATCTGAAGTCCCTCTTAGTTTATATTTAGCTGGATTGTCTGAGAAAAGCTCCTTGCTAAGCAGAGACATGGAACAGGGAAAAGAGAGAATATTTATATTCAGTTTTGATCAATGGTCTAGGTAAATATTAGATCTCTGCCATTAAATCCCCATGTTCAAGATTTGCCTCGCAGAGCCAAAAATTACTAGCATCAGTTACCTTTGACAGTTTTCACCTCAATTTCGTAGTGAAATTTCATATTTAAAAAAAAAAAAATCTGTATTCCTAGTTGGTACACTTTCAGCTAAGAAAAAAGGTATTTAAATACAAAACTACCTTTCTGCTCTTAGGAGAGGGAGAGATGTAAGCAATAAATACACTACTGTTTCTTCTCTCAAGTGAAGCGAGCAGACCAGTCTTCTGACCTCTCATTTTAGTATGCTTAAGAATTGCAGTCAAAGGAGTGCTTAAAGACATCCACCCTTTCTTAATTTTTATAGACACCCCCAGTGGCTCCCTTCGGACAGGCTGGACAAGAAATGACCCCAGCATGTGACTTTCAGTCTTTTAATATTTTTTTATAATTCTCTGGAGGGGCAAATATAAATCTATTCTGCAGATATATTAACTAGGTACATCTAGCTGTTTTCATTTAGGTGTGCGAAACATCTGGGCTCATGATATATATTTAATCATAATTTTCTTATTTGGGGAGGGAAAGTGTTAACATCTATCTTTGTCTCTGAACATCTTGATGCAGCTGAGTTTTTCCATTAATCTGTTGATCTCTTAGCAAAAGTGGGGTGAGATTCAAAGGCAGTCTCCTGTGCAGCCTGGAAGCGTAGCTTTATAAACTTTTTTTTTTTTTGAGATAAGAGAAAGAAGTGCTTTTTTTTTTTTACTTTTTATTACTGTCTGGAAAGTATAAGGTGTCCTCAATAAAATGGAAACATGTCTAAGATTGTAAAATTTTAGGCAGCCTCAAGCTAATATTCAGGAGCGGCAATAAGAAGTTTGTAGAGGTTTTGTCATCAGGGACATTTGATTACCACTAACTTGCAAATCTTCCTTTCCTCCTCTTTTCAGATGCTAATTCCAAAAGGTCTTAATGAAGACCAATTTTAGAACTTCAGATAGCCCTATCAAGTCTCCTGGCTATTTTTTTTTTTCCCCATTTGTCAAGATCTTGAAATTGCAACTATTGACAGCACAGCTGTAGCTGAACATAGTTAAGCAGCACTGGGAAAGAGCTTGGGAAAGCATGGAACAAGATGATGAGTTGTGAAACAGGAATGTCTGCATTTCTGGGTATCTCCACATCATTAGGAAGCAGACAAAGGAACTGTAGCCCATGTAGTATCATCCAGATGTGGGCACTGATAGCAGTTGCATTTCTGCCTTGCCTTGCAACTCTTCTTTTTGTTGTCTTTTGCTCAGTCGGATCTGGGTCTATTTTTACTGAAAGGGCAAGCTTCTTCACATTGGCAGAGAGTTAGGGCCTCCAGCGAAGTGTTTTCACAGTGATGTTCCCTTAGTACAAACAAAATGCATGCTGATGTAAGGAGAGCTCCTTTCCCCAGTGACAGGAATGAAAATTCAAGCATATACAAGTGTATACTTTGAGGCAGACTTAAGAAAATTATCAACTGCAGAAAACAGAGCTGTGAAAAATCACTTATTTAGGTAACTGAGGTACCTAGCTGTAACCTTGAACCTCAACAGCTTTTCGACTGAATTCTTCGGGATCTAAGTGCTGCTAGGTTTGACTGCTAATTTTAGACAGTTTAAAATGTGTATGTATGATGCTAATGCTTAGATTTATTGCTTCATTGACACTTGCATTCCCCAGTGCCAGACAGAGCATTTCCTGTGCTGAATGTCATGCCAAATATATGGCAGCTCCCTATAACTGCGATTTCCATTAAATGTCTAACAGCATACATGCTTTTTATGCTGTTCTACATATAAAAACCAATGCCGGTGTACCCTGCATTTGTTATGGTAGTGCTTCAAGAAGAAGCTGAGGGTTTTTTCTTATCAGAAAACAATAGTAGCAAGAATGAGGCCATGTAATACGCTGATTCAAGTAAAAGGTGCCAAATATTCTGCATTTAAAACTCACCTAAAAACATGTCCTGATCCTTTTTTTCTATGTCCTTCCTGCAGGTTAAACATACTTACTTAGAGCAATAGTTCTGGAGTTGTGTGTATATACGTATCTATCTGTGTACATATATGTTTGTGTGTATATGTATAGACACACACATGCATTTTTAAATAGTTCCTGATAAAAGTAAATATTGTCTAAGTGAGAAGAAAATAAGGAACCAGCTGCTTTCTCTTGGTCTCCTAGTCTTCATGCACTATAACTATTAAATAACTTAGGTAGTGATTTAAAGGAACAAAAGAAGCACTTTTTGCTTTGCTTCTTAGGGGACGGTCAGAAATCGCTGTATAACCGTGTTTTAAAGTCCAGAAAAGCTGAGATGTTGGATAGCACCACTTGGAGGAAGTTTTTGGTAGTAGATGGAGTTTCCTCAAAAGTTTAGAAGTGCTTGAACCTCTGGCTGTCCTGTCTGTTTTACTGGTCCTGTAAGAATGATGTAAGGATGTAAGGAGTACAGAGCTCTTCTAATGCTCTCGCCTTGTATAATTAGTCATTTCTCACTAACTTACTTTTACAGGATTTTTTCTTTTTTTCTTTTTTTTTTTCTTTTTTTTAGTATTGGCAGTATTAACTGTAATATAAATATTTTGTTCCTTTTTTTTTTTCTGCCCCACAGAGCAGAATGGTATTGAAGAAACGCTTTCCAGCCGATTGCCTTGGAGAGAGAGAGAGACCTATTTTTATGCATCATTTATCGATCATGCAGCACAAGCAATTATTTAGTACATTCTATTTTTTCATAAAATTTGCTGATGCCAAAGCTTTGTATTAAGGAAAAAGTGAAGAAATAAAAAAAACTTTAATTATGAAATCTTACTCTGAGAATTTTATTTTTCTTGGACTTTCTGTGTAGTACTCAAGTCTGACAGCCTTTTGTAAATTTTATAAGTTGCTTTTATTTCCTCTGAACGATTCAATCTTTGCAGATCTATATGCTTCTCCTTTCATTTTGGGGGACACAAGTTAACAAGTGGAAATCTCACGCAGTGCCGTACTTATGATGCCACCCAGCACTGGAATGACTAACAGAAGTATTAATAGCAATCACTCCATACCAACTCATTAAGGAAAAAAGCTGGGCCAAGCATCTAGTATGTAACGGGCTTACTTTGACTCCAACTGAAAATTAATTTGAAATCAGAACACTTTCTCCAGTTCTCCTCCTGTAATGCTCCTGTGTCAGGAGGATTGCAATATGATTTTTGTCTTCAGATCAGGCCTTGCTGAAGGTTTGCAACACTGTTTTCTCGACATACAAAGCATAAACCTTTCCTTTCTTTTGCTTTCACTCCACCCTTCTTTCTGATAAAAGTGAAGCTACTCTAAACCACTTCTTCCTTCCTAATACCAAGCGAAAAGGTAGTGTTCTCCCCCACTGTCATCTGTGAAGCCTCCTTCATGTTAGTGACAGGGGTTAGGTTTTGTTCAAATTCAGATCCTGAAAGATGGATGATGGTCTTACCGTAATGTAGAAACTCTGTGCAAACAAGTCACATCTTGCCATGGGTTTTTTACTGGTGAGGAGGCAGAGGGAAAACATCTCTCATTGCTGTCCTCACTTGGGCTGTTTCATGCAAGTTTACTTATGCAAGCTGTGTATGAGTAATTTCACAACAGTCAGTTAAAACATGTGGATCTGATTCACAGCCAAATGCCAAGGCTCGAGTTAATGAGATGGGTAGATGGAGGTAACAAATTGGTAAGGAAAATATAATTGATAGAAGTTAAAAGCTATTCTGTGTTCTGTTGTTTTTGTTGTTCTCATATCAAGATGTAGACATTTGAAACTTAATGCTTTCTAATTTAATTAAATGAACAGAACCAATTTTACTGTAAGATTTAATTTTTTTGTGTACTGGAAAATAGAGGATTTAATTTAATTTTATTTTTATATATAGGCCCTTTTAGAATTTAGGAACACAGCCAGAGTCTACATTAAAATAGTTTCTTAATTCTTATCTGTCCAGCAGGCTTCAGCTGAGAAGGCAGCTTTTATAATAAGAAATGAAGTATGTGATAGCTTCAATACATCTAATAGAATTATTTTTCAGTGTGTCCTTGTGAGATTTTGAAAGAAACATGAAAACAATCAATAGAGCAGTAAGTGCATCTTGAAAGACTGGAAAACCCCATTGGACTTACTCATGAAGAGGAAAAAAAACCTCAAACTTAGTGTGTCTGAGGACTGTCTCCTTGTAAAATACAGTTTGTCAGCTGAGCGTTGTTGCCAAAAATGCAGGAATGTGGTTAGAGCATGATTTAGGGAACAGGCTATGAAATGAAAGGGTGACATTTTTTATTTTTTTTCACCCATCTCTCAACAGCAGTAGTAAAATTGGTAGGTTTGTGCTTGTCTCCTGAAACAAAAATCCTTAAGTGCTTTTTAATGCTGTCAGGAGTGATGCGTGGGGGCAGCCAACAGCCTGGTGGCCCCGATGCAAAAGGCACCACAGTCGCAGTTCATGTTTCTTCTACAGAACAGCAGCAGAAGGAGAAGTTCAGTTGAGTAATACTGGGTTGACGTGGCTTTTAGTGCATTTTCCTCCGCAGGGGGGTCACATAACCCAGGGCCATCTTTGTTAATCTTGCTTTTGAGCCTCTAACAATTGTCTCAACAAAGTGTTAATAAAAGTACAGACAGTATCTGCTAGGTTAATTACAGGTCAGACTAGCAATGTAAGTTTATCCTCTTAATGAAATAAATACATGCAAAGATGGACTCTGCACCATCCTAGAAACTCAATTTTTTTACTCTGGATAGACACAAGAAGGACATTCCCAAAGTTTTTGTTGCCTGCTATGATCTTAGGTACCCACACATAAAAGATGAGTGACATTACGCTCATATACATAATCATAATAGTGAGAGGAAAGGAGAAGAGCTGGTCCCTCTTCCTAGATGTTGCAAAGGTGGCGGGACTGGGCTGCCAGGAGGGTATAATAGGGTACAGTTCAAGAGGGAGCAGCAGTGCCTTGCTAAACAGCTGGCTTTGAGGAAAGGATGCTTTAGGAAATAATCTTGCTCTGTTGTCCATTAACTGAGAGAGTGTTTAAAACAGATTGTCTGAGATAGCGAGTGCTTGGTGCGGGTTTCCACATTAAGAAGTCATTGTGCTGGAGGAGCTGTGGAGAGACTGAAACTTGTGGCAGAAGATGGCCCTAATTAATGGCTGAGGGTGTTAAAATACTTGCAGGTGGAAAGGGAACACCGGGTGATAGTCCTGATGCACCTGCAATGCTACAGCAGTGCCATCTCTCTTGAATTTTTGGCCTTGGTGTTGAGCCCACTTCTGTAGCATCCTATCATAGGTATAAAGATCAATTACAGGGTAGCATGTTTATTTTCAGACTCAATACGGGTTATCTGAAAAGTTCTTTGTAAGTATATAAGGAAGAATAGCAGCAGAGAGCACTGAAGGATTCGTTTTTATGTATTAAAACTGAATGCAGACTTCCTCTTTGTTTTCTGTACTTAAGGGATAAATCTGGATCTTCCTTGGTAAGTGCAAAATAGGAAGAACAGGTTCATAAGCTGAATTTGGAACTGTGGATGTTGCTACTTGTCCTTAAAATACATTTATTCAGCAAATTTATCAACTGGGCTGATGCCACATTTTTAACCACTAGCGGTTTTCTGCATTACTATTTGCGTAGCTGGGTCGCAGTGCCCTACTGACCCTGTTTCTCTAGCCATAAACTGTGGGCAATGATACCGAGCTGGTTATTAGAGCACCTGAAGGTAGAGTGTTGAAAAGCACTGGGCAGGCTGCACTGAGTGGTAGAGGAGACAGACGTTTAGGAAAAGAATGAATGATGTGTTCCGAAAGTGGTATGAAAGCCAAGAGATTTGTATCTGTATGGAAACATGCAGCCTTCCTGGAAGTGGGTGGCTTAAATATCTTTTGCCAAGAAGCAAGAAAACATCACAGTAAAGAATTTTAGAGGTGTTGGATATACAGTGCCTTTTTCCAGATCAATTTAAAATACTTGTTGTCAGATGACCTGTCTGCATGTTGATTAAATCTCTGCCTTGAATCTGCTAGAGTGGAAGTCTGGGCACACACAGAGGAAATGACGGCCTGGGCTGTCTGCTTCCTAATCCCGTGTTTGATTTTTGTGTAATGAAAACAAAAGCAACACTGAGCTTTTAGAATCCCCTTTGTTTTCATTTCAGCATTGGGTGTTCAGTATGTAACATTTCAGCAGTGGAGGAAAGGGAGATGAAACATCCCATATCCATGGCTTATTTCAACTGTAAGCTGAGACTTGCTCATCAAAAATTAAATGATCCTGACCCATAAGACATTTCAAGAAGAATCTTGAGATCAGTTTTATCTGGTATAATTTCAAAGTAGGTTCAATTTTTTTGTTTGAAGACAGACTGATCAGCTGGAAGTCATAGTTCCAAGTTGATGTTCCTTCAAAAACTCAATTTTTTTTTTTTATTTATTTTAAGCATTGCCCGGTTTTAGAAACCTGTAAACTTGGGAGAGGGTTCAGATCTAGAAAGTGGGTGTTCATCATCCCCTGCCGCCTGCTTCTGCAAAGTATATTCCGACACAGTACACTTCTTCCAAATACCTGGATATATGCTCCTGGCAGAATGAGCAACACGCTCCTATGCAACGTAACTACTAATTTCACGTGTTTCAGTTAACTACAAGATCAAAAATAAATAAATTTGCGTGTGAAAACTTCCTCTTCTCAGTGCGCGTGGTGGAGTGAGCGTGTGTACTGGCTTTTGGTGATAAAAGGGAGATTTGGAGGGGGGTTAGGAAACTGGCAGCAGATACGTTGCCCAGCTTCAGTTTGCTGCTGTTGGTAACAAGGATTTGACCGGGGCACACAATTACTGTGCAACTGCGGCCAAAGTTTGCTGCAAATTGGGATGGCAGCTTGGTGTGTCAGCTTGCAAAATGAGTTTGCATGGAACCCGTCTACAGCGTCCCTGGCTCTTCCAGCCAGGGCTGTTATGAGGCCTCTGCTTTGATAAGTGCAAAATTCATCTTCGCTTTTGCTCTTTCAGCACTTCTGCGCATTTGATTATAACTCTAGCTTTTTCTTTTTAATCTTAATAAGGATGACTTTTTTTTTTTCTTTTCTGACTTTCTGTCTTTTGGGCGAGTGAAAAAGGAGAAAAGTTGTTTTGAACAGTAGCAGCTGAATTCTTCTTCCCTCATATCTTTTGTAAGCTCTTTATTTCAGAAGGGCATAGGCTGGACTCAAAATTTGGCGAAGAAAGGAGGATTTAAGCACCTAGATTCTGCCAGGGCTAAAACTGCAGTCCCCTAAACATCTTGCTCCACTGATGCCTGAAACTGGAGGCACCTTGGTTTGCTGAGTGCCTTTTTTATGAACTTGGAAGCATTTCAGTTGCCTCCAGTTTGGCTCATGTATTTTAATCTAAGCAGCCTTGCTCCCAGCTAATCCCCCCTGGGATCGAGAAACCCAGTAATGAAACGTTTTGGCCAAGGGCCTGATCTGATAGATGCTTTCAGAGAGAACAGTTTGTACAGCAGTAGGGCTGGGCTCCTTGCAAAACACATCTGTGGATTTGGAGAGCCACGGGACTGCCAGGCCACCAAGGAGAAAAAAAAATGAACTTCCATTCCCTGCTCTATCAACAGCCACTTGGTGCTTGTTTCGGGTATCACCAGTGTCGCAGAAGAATGTTGGGTCTCCTTTGGCTCTGTGTAAGGAAATACGTAGGTGCCTATTTCTAGAAGGTGAACCTGCGTGGCTGGGGGTTGCTGAG